AGGGGGGTTACATATTTTTCCCTCCCCCAACTCTTTTCCCTGTCTTCTTTGTCTCCTGAGACCTATTCCCTTTGGAAATGCATTAGTTACCTAGGAAACCTTAATGTCATTTTTTTATGAGTTGAGTTTGGTACAGCATAAAGTTAATTTATAGGGTGGTTAGGAATTCGTGTCGTAACTAGTGAAACAGGAGACTTCATTATGACTTCTAGATCCACCTGTGTGGCAGGGATACATACCTTTGCTCTATCATTACGGATAATTTTTTGAAGCCTAATTACAAATATGCGTTCTATTTCACAAAATGAGTTGATTCATTGTTGTTCCATGTAATGCATTATATTGTTCTGCATAAGCCCCAGAACGTAATTAGTGATAACAACAGGGCAGTAATACACTAGGAAATCTGTTAACAGTAGAAGGATGTGCTGGAATTTCCTCTTAAATGATGAGGTGATTCCACCCTGAGGCGGGGAATGAATGAGAATTTTAAGCCCTTCATCTATGTCTCTCATGGGGTTCACATTAGTAAATTAAATACATTCTATGTCCACTACTTCATTTTGCTCATTTCTTACTGTCTGAGAACACACACGCACACACACACACACACACACACGAAATTATGTTAATGAAATATGGATGGAACCCAAATAATAAGCATTTTTCTTTCTAATGACCAGTATCACTTACTAGTGGGGTACAAAAGGCGTCAGTGTAAGAGCTGTAGAACTTGGATCTGGGGCTTGCACTGTCCCAGGCACTGTGTGGTGAGTTTTAAATTACTGCATTCATTTAGTCTTCGTAGTGCACTTTTGACACGGACACTGTTTCACTAACTCTGGATGGGTTTTGATAAGCTAGGTACCCCGTCTAAAAACATATATAGTAGGCTGAGAGAACAAAGTGAAACTCCGATCCGTCAGACTACAAAACTGACCCTTTCAACAAGTTCTGCTTCCCGGTCTCTTAGTGTGATCTGTTGTTTGCTTGGGTATTTTCTGTCCCTCTAAAGAAAGTCACTGAAAATCTGGGGGACTGAGTTTCCTAGGTTACTACATGTAGGGAGGAGTCTGAAAAGAATGCGAGAGTATCTTAATATCCTCACTGGATGAGGCTGCTCCTTGAAGCAAAGACAGGCCTGGGAGACACCTTAGAGAAAGCTAAGCTTACTGAATAAACAAATACACTCGCAGCTGCCAGGGACAACTGATCTCGTTGGAGGGGGCAGGAGCTGGGGTAGATACAGTCTCCTCAATGCTCCAGGGCATCCAGGAAGAGCTGCTAACAGGCAGGCTAACCTGTGTGCTTACTACTTCACAAACATGTAGCTGGGTATATTTCATGGGGAGCCAAGATAACATGATGAATCAAACTCCCCTGACCCCAAGTTCCCATTTCTAATGCAAACACCTTTCAAATTCACTTATTTTAGAGCTGCAGGCTTTCTGACTCCATCATCTGGAACAGCTGTCTGGATGAGCAGGGATGAGTACTGAGGCCAAAAGTGAGGGTAGGAGCCCTAGTACCCTGCAGCAACACAGGCAGCTTGCAGATATTTTAGAATCCGCTAAGGTGTGCTATTTATACTAAGGCAAGTAAAAGATCTGCAGTGAAGGCTAGTTATGTGAGCCAAGGCTAGCTGCATAGTGAAGCTTATCTTTGTTGTGTATAGTCAAGCAGGACCATTGTGTCCAAAACTTCATCTCCGGAGTCAACATTTCGCTGTGAATGAACCATATACTGTTGTTGCACAAGAGACCCTTTCCACCCCAGATAAGCATAAGGTCTTCACTGAGCTGAAAACAGGAGAAAATGCAGTTTTAGGAGAAAATGCAGTTTTCCAGGAGGCCCAGATTCATTCCCACCTTTTCATTTTGTTTCTGTTTTACGTTTCAACCACACTGTGGCGCTATTACAAAAGATAAGGGTAGGCCAAAGGCAAGCTCTAGGAATTCGCCTTAGAAGAGTTTAAAGGGGTTTAAAACTGAACCTGGCTCTGGCTCTCACAAACTGCTTTCTTTGGGAATCAGAGCCTCCAATACATTAGGAAGAAAAAGCAAGTTCATTGACCCAAAGGTGTTGTCAACAGTTTGACAGCCAAAACCAGAAAGTCTGCTTAGAAAGACCACTACCTAGCTAGGAAACTACAGGGTTGTCTATGGAGAGAGCACACTCCACAGCTTCCTGCCCTGTCTTCCCTTAACTGCAGTTATCTATATGGCTCTTAGCTCTGGCCTTTCTTCAAAAACCTAAACTCTCTATTTAGAAACTCGGGTTTGCCTAGAAGTCACTATGACTCTGACAGGCTTTTATCTGCTTGTAAACAAGTGAAGTTTCTGCCTCTTTTTCTGCCCAGCACCCTCTTTTGACATCCTCTGAACCCCAGGAAGTCCAAGAAGCCTTTGCATCTACTGAGGGAGGGGAGGACCGTTAACTCTTGATCGGAAAGAAACGAGGAAAGAGAAGATTGACGGCCTGCTGGGGGAAGAAAATCTTCAGATGGGTCTTGCATAAAGAAAAAGACAACGTTCTCCACCGGGGTGGGGGGGCTAAGAGGGGAGGGTCAGTTGTCCTAGGAAAGTTCATCGTTTGCCCCTGCTCTTGCCTGGGTCTCTCCCTGCCCTCCCCCTCCAGACACCGCACATATTTGGCAAGATTAAGGTATCACCTCTCATATTACAAGGCCTGTTGATTGCAGGCGGAGACAGACCCTCCTGCACCCTTGAGTTGGAAACAATGCACTCTTCCTGCCGTCGCCCAGGTCTGGCAAAGAGAGGCAGCCAGCCAGTGCACCGCATCTGCAGAACAAATCGGAGTCTTGAACTCTGAAGCCTTTTCTTCTGACTGTTCATATTTAAGCTTGCCCCTCTTAGACCCCTCCTCCCTCCAGACCGCCAGTGACCGGGGAGCAGCCGGCGGAGCAGCCCACACGTGTATTTAACCCGTTCCTCCCTGCCAGGCAGTAAAGCACCACTTTGGTTGCAATCTGTTGAGCTCCGAGACCAGGAGCTTGAGAAATGAGCCCCTAGAATTGGGCCAGCAGAGAGACTAAAGGGACAGAAGGGGGGAACAGGGGGAGAGAGGCAAGTGCGGGAAGTGGGGGAGGGCAGGGGCGGGCCAGAGGACTGCGAGAAAACCAGAACCCCACAGAGCACGCCCAAGCCAAATCTCCAAAGTGCAGTGTGGCCCGATCGGATCCTGAGGAAGAAGGCGATATTTTGGCAGGAGGGGAGCCTTTGAAGGAGGACTCAGCCCTTCCGAGGGACTGTTGGAGGTGACGTCCTTGAGCCTCTGTGGGTGCTGCAGGCCATTTTCGATGTGGCAGCCCCCGTCAGCCAGGATAATGATGAGGCAGGTACAATCTATCTAGTATGCAGCCTCCTCCCCTAGACTCTCCATCCTTTCTGGCCTCCCTTTGCCCTGCGGCTTCCCTTGGCTTCAACCGGTGGGTGCAATTCTGTCGTTCCGGGGTGTAGACCAGACGCGTACAACTACAAGGAATTTTCAGATTGTGAACCTGAACCTTGCTGAACTACACTGCGGGGTGCTTATCAGACACTTTAATGGAAGGCAAGGAAGAGGTAGACTGTTGAATCGCCTCTCCTGGCGCGTGTGAGTCAAACGCCCTGACAAGAGGCGACTTGGAGAGTGGCTGCAGGGGTGGGGAGTGGGGTGGGGAGGGCGCTTGGACTTTAAATTCCACCTTGCAAGAATCAGGAAAGGAGGGAAGGAGGAATACTCTACTCTAGGGGGTCTCCATTTCTCCTTACTCCTAGGATTTTTTTTTCTTTCCCTGAATTTTCCTTGGACAACGATTGAACAAAATCTAGATGCACTGACCGTTGTAAATTCTGAGAGAACCAGCTCAGAGCAAGTGGGGTCTAATAGCTAAAATTATCTTCAAATAAGACCTCTGCCTCCACCCTGGGATCTTTTCTGGAATGAATCTAGCGGTTGTGGAAGAGAACGTTGCTGCTTTCGGGGAGTCGGGAAGAGGTGTGTTTCTTGCCTTTTCTTCTGGGCGAGCTGTTTTGTGCAGAGCGGGGATCCCTGGGAGAGTGCTCAGCTCCAGGACCCGTTCCTACTTTGGAAGGAAGGGGTAGAGAGAGAAGTTGGAGACCGAGTTGAATGCGGGGCTTGGCCTCACGCCTCTAGTTTTCTTTCACGCACGCGCCGCGCACAAAAACCAACCCCTCCCTTGTTTGCTCAGGACCCCCACCCCCACCTTACCTCCGTGATTTAACCTCCCCAGACAGCCTGCAGTGAGCCTGGGGAACTGGTCCCCAGGACTGAGAGTTCAGTTGAGGGAGAGCAATTGTTCCTGGGCGGGTTCCTGTGGTGGTGGCAGTGGGGGTGGCTATAAGGGGGTGGGGAGATCCAAAGCTAGAAGGGTCTGAGGTTTGGAGGTAGAGTTTAAGGTTGAGACCCAAGAGTTCCTGAACCAAGGGGCAAGAAAGGCCTTCTGCCTCGTTAGAGAAAAAAAGAAAGATAAAAGAATCTTAAGAGAGAAAAAAAAAGATCAAAGAGAAAATTTCAAGAATAATTCAGATCGAAGATGTTAGCGTGTAAAATATGATGATAAATTGAATGTTTTCTATGACTGCTCCTCATCTCTAAAAGGGAAATCAAATGTAGGAGGCACTGAAGAGTAGGCTGTTTTGGAAGCATGTGTTTGTTTGTTCGTTCGTTCTTTCGTTTGTTTTCCTTTAAAGGGGACTAGGAGAATTGACCTGGTTTCCCAGGTTGGTCTCAAGAGCAAATTCCATAGTGCTGGGGCGCGGGCCTGCGAGTCACTGCGGGCGGGGCTCGGGGGCGAGGGCTCGGCGCGGAAGGGGTTAAGGCGCTGAGCGCGGAGCCATCTGGCCGGGTTGGCTGGTTATAACCACGCAGATTATGTTCACGGGACTCAGAGTTGAAGGCTCCTCTCCTTACCCAGCAGCTCCGCGCACCGCCCCGCGAAAGAGCCGGCGCAACTTTCTTCCCTCTTTCTTCCTCTGGTTTTTCCCACCGCTGGGTAGTGGCTGCGGCAGGGGTGGGCGAGACTGAATGACCGAACTCGAGTCCACCTTTCTCTTCATGTCGACGTCCCTGGAAATAGTCACACGGATGCCATGGTTACTTCTGCCACGGTAAGGGGAGGTGGCGGGCACGCTGGGTGGGCAGGTCTGGGAGGGGGTGGGGGATCGCGTGGGGGAGAGATTTTCCTGAGGGTCCGCGTGGGGGGGCCTCAACTCTGCACACAGCCCCACCCCCATCGCGCAACAAGCTCTTAACTTTCCGATTCGTGTGCCTTCTTCAAAGTTTGCGTTGGGATCTGCCCAGGCCTAGGCGCAATCACCACCACCCTTCTTCCACAAGCACGCTCACGCGCGCGCGCGGATACGGCTCCCCACCTCCTCCTCCTCCCTCTAGTCCCCTGGCTGCCCAAGAAACCGCCCTCAGTCTGGGAAAGTGATCAGGTTTAAGAAACCTGCATTGGAAAGGGAGGGAGGTGGAGGAGAGGGAAAACCGGGATCACGAAAAGGCAGGAAAGGGATTCTGCCTCCCCTGCCCCTCCACCTCATGCACGCACACCTCCAACCCTGCTACCTGGTTCTCCCAGAAGACTCCCGCGCATCCTGTAACAAAAGAGGGTAGCAGACAAAACCGGGGGTAGGATGAGGCCGGGACCCCAGCGTTCGCCTTGCACCCCGCTGGTCACCGGGCACTGTTCGACAGCTCCACCGCACAGTCAGGCAGGGCGTGGACTGGGGGAGGGGACGCAAAGCTCAGGACCCGCAGAGTCACTTCTCAGGTTGGGGAGTTGGGACCCACCACCCAGTAGTGCGTACCTGCATTGGTGTCCCACGTAAGCCTTTTCTCTGAGATGATCCCCAGCCCTGGGCTACTCTGGCCAGCGCCTACCAGAAGGGCTACCCACCCCGGGTCTCCAGGCAGATGTTGGGTCTAGCGCTCAGACTGCCCGTCTGGGACCCAGCCCGAAAGGTGGGCACCGAGACAGTCCATCGGTAGGGATTTGGTAGCAGTTTCTCGGAGCCCGTTTTAGCCTCCTCTTACCCCCTTCCCCCTCGCCCCAGAGGTGGTTTAAGAAGGCCGAGAGCATCGGAGATCCTCACAGTTAGGTCGGAGTTAAAACAACCCACAGTGGACTGTTTGCATTGCCACCGGGCTTTGCACAGTGTTGGTTACTTCTAATGAAATTTGGCACGCTTGGGAATTGAAGGTGCGGGATGGGGGGGGGCTGGCGCGGGGTGCGGGGAGGACCGCTCTGCTTGTAGCTTTCGAGCGTGAGTGGTGAGTGGGTGTGCATCCAAGAGGCGCCACTGCTTTGCGCAATTTCGGCGTTCTTCCTCAGCGCTCAGATGAGCCTCGCTGGGACCCCAGCACCAAATGGTGTGGACGCAGTTGCTTAGAGAAGTCGCTCGCAGGTGGGAATTGGAATCGAAGCTCGTGTTTTCCAGGTGGAGGAAGCACCCACCAGATTGACCCCGACCTCTGGCGGCCGGCGGGTAGCAGGTTGAGAGTCAGAGTGGAGGCTGCTCTAGGACTTGGTCCTAGCCAGCGCAGACTGCGGGCTTGGAGAGCCGGAGTCCCTGAGCCGGGACTTGTTTATGAGTGTGAAGAGGTTGGGGGCGGGGACCTGCTGGGGGAGGGGAAGAGAGACTGTAAGGGTGTGTGTTACTCGCCTGAGTCTGACGTTGGAAATTCTGCGGGTTACGGAGTCTGCTGGCAAACCTGCTTTTCAGTAAAGGGATGCCCTTCCACAGCTAACCATCGAGAGAGGAAATAACCTAAGCAGCTCCCCAAACGTCAGGATAAGAAGAGTGTACCAGAGGGGTGGGTTGTACCGGGGAGCTTCACAATCGGTTCTGTTTTCTAAAGGATCTGAACTTTGCCAGCGTATTCGGCCTCCCCCCATCCTGACGTGTTGCTCTAAGAAATTTGAGAGGTGGAATCCAGAAGATAAAGCCCAACTACCTCCGCCTTAGGCTCAAACAGACCTTCAAGCGTAGCGTTGAGAGAGAGTGGAGAGGGGGAGGGAGGGAAAAAAAAGCAGGCTGCGGGCTGCTGTATCTGGCAGTACGTAGGGACAGAAAAAAGTTTACCAGTGTTCGCCTCAGGGAGAGCGAGTAAGATTGCGCTTCGGTGAGGACTATGTAGAAGATGGCCTTGAGAAAGCTGTATCTATAAGAATCGGGTCTGATTTCCCAAGGAGGTAGACTGATCCTTGGGTGGCCGGAGAACGACTGGGAGTCTCAGTAAGAGAGGGGGTTGGGAGAGGAGAGAAGGAGGTGGAGTTCGCTACAGCTTCCTCCAGCGCGGCTGGCCCTGGAGGGGTGGGGAGCCTGTGTGATGGGCATCTGTGTGCATAGCAGGAGCCTAGAGCTTGTGGGAACATAGGTGTAGCTAATGAGAAATCTGCGCCTGTGAAGGGTGTCAGAGCTGGAGAAGTGCAGTGTGCTGAAGACAGATGGCCTGTGCGTGCCTGCGCAGACACATGGGGTGGGTGTGGTGTGGGAGGGCGGCTGGGCTGTGTGTGTGTGTGTGTGTGTGTGTGTGTGTGTGTGTGTGTGTGTGTGTGTTAAAGGTGGACATGCATGGGAGCTGAATGCCCGATGATTACCAAAGGGATGATGCAGGGGGAGATGATCCGGGAGAGAGGAGTGTTAACTTCATGAGCATGTGCAGCCCTGGGGTTGACTGGAGGGCACTGGGGCACACGGGAGATTTGTGGGCTCTGGCATTCTTGCAGGGAGCAGTGTAAGAAAGGATGACTTTTGCCTCTCCCCCTTCCCAGCTTTCCAGTGGAGGGACCTTAGAAGGCTTAGAATGAGGGCTGTACATTTACGTGTAAGGGTCACATGTGTTGGCACAGGGCCCAGTGACAGGAAGGACTGTGTGCACAAGATTCTTGAGTGAATGAATGCATTTGTGTACCAAGAGATAAGGATGCACATCGTATAATATCATACAATGAGCTCCTTTTAACAGAAGGACACACTACCAGCAGCTAATGTTGATTATTATTAAAAAATTAATGGGATGCCTACTGGATGCTCAGCTCATTGTTGGGTGCTGGGACATGGCACACAGCCTTGGAGAAATTCCTTCTCCATGCTCAGTTGACTGATGCAGTGTTGCCAGGAATGGGGAGTGCAGTGCCTGTTGAGGGTGCTTCTAGAGTTGTTCATGGATCAGGGGAACCAAAGGGAAGCTTGCCTTGAAATAGATCTGTGGTTTTGCAAAAAAGGTTCCATAAAGGTAAAGATGATGGATACCTCTGTGGCTGGGAAGGGAGCCTGAGGGTGTTACCACGGCTTGCCTGGAGTACAGGCTTGGCCGGGAATTGGAAGGTGCTGCACTCCAGGCAGAAAGTGAGAGTCCGGATCCATTTCTGGTTGGAGTGTGCCAGAATGACTCTTGGTACATGGACCTGGGGAAAGGCTCAGGGATGCAAAGGACAGGCTGGGCTGGTAGTGTTTGCTTATCTTTGAGGCTTCTGCACTATGAGTCTAAAGCTGTGCTGAGTATGTGCCAATATTTTTTGTCCATAGGCTTGCTGGGGGATGAAGCAGCTATGAGAAAGCTAGCCAATGGGATGGAGAGATGCACATAAAGCTAAGACCCAGTGAAGGAATATGCTGTGTGTGTGTGTTTTTTTTTTCAGGAATTCTGTGGGTCTGGAGAAAGGGGGACTGGTCTTGGATGCTTAGACATCTGTCTTAAGCGAACAAAGGCACAGTTAAAGGAAGACCTGTGTGTTCCAGGGAGTGAGAGCAAGGAGGAGTTTGTTGAGTTCCCTGAGGTTGGAGGTAACTGGGACAAAGCAGGAAGAAGGTTTTATACTTTAGGGGTACACACATCTGTCCACATGGGCCAGGTGACAAGGAAGCCCTTTTGATCATGTGAGGGCATCTGGGCAGGACAGTATTAGGCTAGTGACAGTCTTGATTCATGAAATTGAAGTTGTACTATTTTGAGGATCTCCCTCCGTGTTTCAGGAAAGCTCACGTTTCTGAAAAATAGCGGATGTTAGGCAGAGCTAGTGCCCACTGTTCTCTGCAAGCACAATGATGAGGTAGAAGACTCCCAGCGGGAAATGTCTGCATTTAGTCTGACACTTTGGAAGAGTGGAACTCTAAAGTTTTCTGATGTCTAGGACTCTCGCTGTCCCTGTCTACAGAGTGACTGTGTTGATGAGGACTGGGTAAGAAGGGCAATGCATTCCTCTTTACCCAGCAAAGCTCAAAGGGACTAGTTATAGAAGCTGTACAGAGATGCAATCTACTTGGACCTAGGGCGGGCATCTGTCAGTCACTGGGAAAATGGGATCTTAGCCTCTGTCTGAAAGGCATGACATAAATCTGGATAGCAATCACATCTCTTTTGCTTACCCACTATAGAACAAAAACACTTCCCATGGCTGCCATGGTTTACTACTTATCCATCCATAAACTGGAGGCAGCTGAAGTTAGATTTTCATTTATGGAAGTCTGATAGTTCTCTGAATTATTCAGGAAGAGAGGCAATACAGGAATTGGTTATTAATTTTCAGATAGACTTTATTTTAGCATCAGTTATGCAAACCACAATGGCAAAACAAATGCGACTTTGAAAGCATGGAGCATAGTAATTGTCCTTGGCATAGCCACGGTTTGTGTAAGAGGGAAGCAAAGTCCAGCCGCCCTGTGTTACTGTCAAGGTCTGTGTTTTTCTAGACGATAAGTCCTTGGCAGGCCCCAGCCTGCCTGGAGAAAGGAACCCCAGGGCTCAGAGTTGTGAAATACAGCATGCCCAGTGCAGCAAGTTGGGCACAGCCACTTTCCTCGGAGATGAGGATGGAGGCCCAGAGGCCCTGAAACATCCCAGTCCTCCCAAAAGTCAGCACATGCTGTCAACTCCTGGCTGGGAGTCAAGGCTCCCATCCTTGAGTTCAGTGGCCATAAATAGTGAGGAGCTAAGCTATTTCCAGGAGGCACTAAACCAATTCTTTTGCTTTTTTTGGCGAGATTGGGCCAATTAAGTTGATTGGAAGAGGTCACTGCTGATGGGTCTCACATTCCCCAAGCAGGACAGGCCAGCAGAGTTTAATTACATAACATTTCCCATCCCTGCCATTGCACTCCCA